AAAATAGTATAAAATGTGTTATGTATTGTATTGTTCCCTTGCAAAAATCCCAAGCCACAACAGTAGGGCCAGCCAAACAGCTCATTGGGTTAAAGCAGGAGTTTCGTTCCCTAGGCCTGCCATGCTGGCCCAGCCCCCAGGAGTGTGCTGAGATGAACACCCTGTAGACCCTTCCCTAAAATAAAAAATAAAAAATAAAAAGATTTCTACCAAGCCACAACAGTAGGTTCAAGGGACAGCAAGTCACCAGTGGGGTGGGTAGGGGGAACATGAGAGCAGGTGAGGACAGGGAGACTGTTCAGGACCTGCGGTCTGTGGGGGTAGCAGCCGCGGAGGGTTCTAAGCATAAGTCGGGATTTTTGTGGGTTTTTTTGAGAAAGGGCTTCACTCTATAATTCAGGCTGGCATTGAACTCACTATGTAGCCCAGGCTGGCCTTGAACTGATGACCCTTCTGCCTCAGCCTCCCAAGTGCTGAGCTTTCCAGCGTGGGCCACCAAGGGTGGATTTTGAGTAAGCAATCTCCCTCTGGTGCTCAGTCACACCCCCTGGTGGCTCTTTGCGGAGGAACAGAGCCAGCGAGGTAATGCTAACAATGGATCTGAGGTCTCTAACCCAGGAAGGTGGGTGGGTGACACTGGGTTGGCTATGGCTAGTGCGAGGGCCCTGGAGAAGTGGTTGGCTGCTGGATACAAAGGTTAAGCCGTTGGGATTTCCCACGGAATTGATTAGATAGATGCAAGAGAGGATTCCAGAGCTGGACATGGTGGAACTTGCTGGTCATCCCAAAATCTGGGAGATTGAGGCAGGAAGACCAGCTGGAGTTGGAGGCCACCCTGGGCTACATAGTGAGTTCAAGCCCTGCTGGAACTACACAGAAAGACCCTGTTTTAACAAACCAAAACCAAAAGTCTAAATGAACTTCAAGATTTTGGCTTCATCTCCTGGAAGGATAAAACTGACAGATACTGGGCAGGGCAGGCTGGGGAGGATCTGGGGGCTGATTCTGGAGGGTGTCACCTTCAAAGTCACTGTGATTTAAAAAAACAAGCCACTGTGAGCAGAGGTTTGTAACTGTGATCTCAGCTACTTGGAGGCTGAGGCAGGAGGGTTGCAAGTTCAAGACCATCCTGGGCAATTTAGCAAGACTCTGCCTAAAAACAGGCTGGGGATGTAGCTCAGTGGTAGAGAGCCCTTGGGCTCGATCCCCATAATGATCTCTGTGAGATCTCACGTGAGGTTTCAGAGGAGACAGCTGGGTCTGGGCCAATTGTTAGGGCAGGAAAGGCATCCCTGGCAGATGTCTGAATTCAGGATCCCTCTGCATAAGGTTAGATGAAGCTCAGAGGCTGCACTTCAGAGGCTCCCAGCTTGATCTCCAGCTCTGGGAGTGGGAGAGGGGCTTGCTTAGGGTTAGAGGAAGCTATGACTTTAGGGCAGTGGATGACTTGTTAATGAGTAAAGGCAACTATATTTCAGAGAGCAGAATTTGGCAAGAAGTGAGCAGGGCATCCCCTGTTGAAACCCAAAAATCAAAAACCGGACTCAACTTAAAAGCGCTTTATTTAGCTGAGCTCAGCAGCCGGCACCTACTCTTGTCTCCAAGTAGGTGCGCGCTTAGTCTAGGTGAGGCACAGTTTAAAGGGAAAAACAACCGGAGGGCGGGGGATTTTACAAAGCTTATTTTGAGTTAGTCATGACCGAGGGTTAACTCTTTGTTTCTATAGAGGAGGTCACATTTTAAAAACTTTTTTATTTATTTGTGTGTGTGTGTGTGTGTGTGTGTGTGGCCAGCTCAGCTCATCAGGGGGCGGGGCTGGCTGGCATGTGGTGCCGGGGGATTGAACCGCGATCCCTGTGTTCTGCTAAGCTTGTTCTAAGTAGGTGCTCTAGACCACTGAGCCATCTCACCAGCCCCGAGGTCACATTTTGCAAACTCTACAGGAATATGTTTTATTTGGCTTAGGCGTTGTTTTTGTCTCGGTAGTCAGAAGGACATCTCAAGACAGTTTTACCCATTTTCAGGCGTTCTGTTTGTTCCCGTAGGAAGGACAGTTTAACTCATTTTGCAGAACGTTGAGGAACATTTTTTATCTTCTCTCAGAATGCTGAGGAACACTTTCTTATTTGCACAAACAGCCACATTCTTCAGGGAAGGCATGGGTGGGGGGCGGTTTACAAAACAAATCAACGTTTTACAAAACGGAAGTAACAAAGCTTGTTAGAAGATGGCGTCTAAGTTGTCAGCTTATACCAAATAGTCCTTGTTAATAAAGTTACAGTGGAAACATACAGAGTTACAAAATTGGAATCAATTGCACGGGCTATAACATCCCCCAAGCCCTAGATGTATCCCCAAACCTCAGTACAATGCCTGGCAAGAGAAGTTGTTCTAATAGTTTGATGTAAGCACACACACACACACACACACACACACGCACACAGAGTTTATTGAGCATCTACTTACACACCAAATACTTTAAACGGTGAAAGATTTATTCGATCTGAAGAGAAACCAGAATATACCAAATGCTTTAAAACCAGCATTTCATCTTCAGGACAGCTTCTCGAAGTAGACACACCCACCTCTGCTGGAAGGGAAGAACTCTGATCCTAGAGGCTGCTGGGAAGTGGACCTGGCCTTAAGCACTGGCTGCTCAAAGCAGCGGGAAGAGCTCAGCGTGGGGACACAGGCGTATCATCCTAGGATTTGGGAGGCTGAAGCACGATTTCGAGTTCAAGGTCAACCTAGGCTACACATTGAACTCAAGGCCAGGGAAAGACAGCCACTTAGCAAAACAAATAAAAACATAAACAAACACAAAAAAACTAAAAAAGGGGGCTGGGTCAGACCCACGCAGCCTGACTTGGAGCAGGCACAGCAGGTTTATGCGGCTTCTGGGGTGTGCGGGCTTGGGTCTCTGTTCTAGATGCTTAGGGCAGGCTCTCCTCCTCCTCGCCGATTGGGCTCGGCAGCCAGGGTGGGGCCGGCACGCGGGGCCCGGGGAGGGGCAGGCCGGGGAAGGGGTCGGAGCCTGGCGGGAGAGCCGGTGGCTCGGGGCCAGTTGGGGGCTCAGGCTCCGGCTCCCGCGTGGCCGGCTCCAGGAGCGGGTCCGCGCAGCCGCACTCGAGAGTCGCACCGTCGGGGGCGCACGCGCACGCGCAGCTGGCCGCGATGGACGCCTCGGACACGCAGCTGTTCTTGCGGCGCAGCAGCGACAGGCGCCGGCCCAGCAAGGCGGTTCCCGGGCCTGTCTGCAGGAAGCGCTGCAGGAAGTCGCCGTGTGCCTCTCCCAGGGGGCCCTCCGTGCAGTCCAGTCGCTGAAACTGCATGTCCTCCTTTGCCAGCCTGTGCACGGATAAAGGTCGGAGCTCTGGCTTTGCCCAACTGCTCTTTTCTTTTCTTTTTTGTATTTACTACAGGGTCTCACTACCTAGACCCGTAGTGATCCTCTTGTTTTCAGCCTCCCAAGCACTGGGATTACAGGCGCGTGCCACCGCACCCAGTCTCAATTACTGTCTCAGAACCGGGGATAGGCCCTTGAGCTTGCCAGGGAAGCCTTATTCTACTGAGCTATCTCCCTGGCGCCTTTTCTTTCATTTTTGGAGACGGGTTCTCGCTATGCAGTTCTGACTGGCATTGACTCACTATGTAGCCCAGGAAGGGATCATCCTGCCTCAGCCTCCTGAGACACTGTCTGTCTGTCTGTGTGATTGCTGGAGATGGAACCCAGGATTTTGAGCATGCTAAACAAGTGCTCTGCCCAGGAGCTACATCACACGTTCTCACCCTCATTGACAGAGCAGACTCCCAGACGGGAAGTTTTCTGTGGCCCTCTAAGACCCTCTGTGTCACTTATCCCCAGAGATCTTAGCCCCCACAGCCTCTGGCTCTGCTCACACATTGATCTCAAAGATGTGTTATGTACCTGGACCAACTCCCCATGGTTGACGTAGTCACAAGCTACTGCAAACACATACTAATAAAAAATTTAAGAATAATCATTGCAAAGCCGGGCATGGTGGTGCATCTCTGTAATCCCAGCACTCGGAGACAGAGGCAGGAGGATTATTATGAGTTTGAGGCCAGCCTGGGCTACAAAGTGAGTTCAAACCTGTCTGAACTGCACAGGGAGACCCTGTCTCAAAAAGACAAAAATAAATAAATATAAAATGATAAAAAAAAAAAAGGTAGAAAGGTTGGAGCTGCAGTTCAGAGTGAAGACCCTGGGTTCCATCCCTTGTGCGCGTACACACACACACACACACACACACACACACAAAACCCTGTATCCCTGGATTAATTTAGCCTGGTTATCTATAAGTGCCCGCCACGACCTGCCCACACCACTGACTCACGTGATATCGAAGGTAGAGCCCTGGAACGAGGGCTGCTGCTGCAGGAAGGCTGTGGCTGCCGTGTATGGGGCTCGTGCCTCGGCCGCGTCCCAGTACAGATCTTTCTCCAGCATGGCCAGGTCGTCATACATCTCATCCACCGCTAGCATGGAGACCTGAAGGTGGGGACGCACGCCAGAGTGGGGCAAGGTGCCCTCAGGGTGTGTGGCAGCCGGTGCCACAGAAAGTAGAGTGGCTCTGGGCAAGGCCTAGGCAGGTGTGGTGGGGCTGGGGGCAAGGCCTCTTGGAGAGGGCATGGGCCATCACCCAGAGAGGCTCACCTGGAAGTTCCGGTCAATGAGAAAGTTGGTCTCAAAGTCATCATCGTCCTCTCCGAAGGGGTTGATGAGCTGCTCTGCAACCTGGGAGGAAACAATGAGGCAGTGGGACCTGGCTTTCCTTACCCCATCCCCACCCTGCCCCTGTCCCTGCCTCCCAGACCCTGACCTTGAGCCAGCCAACGTAGAAGAAGAACTGAAGCAAGGTGAAGACAGGGAAGTACAGGTCCAGGTTGTGGTCCTTGTACCCCTGAGCTGGGTCCAGGAACTGCCGGCCCACGAGGCAAGCCAGGAAATAGCTGTATACCGCGATGGTCACCACCTGCAGGAGTGTGGTGTGGGGACACTAGGTAGGGTTCCCAGCTGCTTGGTCATTGAGAGACTGGGACTGAGACTGGGTGGGTCTGGGATGGAGTTTTAGGTCCCCTTGAGTACCTCTGACACCTAGTGTAAATTTAGGCACACTGGGGTTACCTGGGTGTAGACAAGGGGCACACTGATCCAGTCATAGTGAAAGAGCATCCCGCATTTGGTCCGAAATGCATTCAACTCCTGGGGGGGCAGATAGAAGCCACAAATTCAGGGAGTGTGCTGTGAGCTCCCCTGGACACCTGGGAGAAGAGGGGTGGCACCTGGAGGGGCTCATTGTGCTTCCAGGCAGTCCAGAAAGGGCATTTGGCGGAATCGCTCCACAGAAATAAGCGTGCACCTGGGATTTCTGGGAAGGGGGTCTGGAATCCGCCTCAGGGGAGGAGTGTGGCTGGCAGCAGTTGACAGTTCTGGGTCCAGTTTTCCTGAAATCCTTTTTTGTTATTTGTTTGTTTGTTTGTTTAGACAGGGTCTTGCTATGTAGTTAAGGCTGGTCTTCAGCTTACTATGCAGCTCAGGTTAGTCTCCAAATCCCGGTGAGCCTCCTGCCTCAGCCTTCTTTCTCAGCGCCAGGTTTACCCTCCAGCGTGCCCCCAACCCCAGCCCTGGGATTCTCTATGAAGGGCTTCCTAGCAGCCCACCTCGAGCAGTAACTTGAGGGCGCTGTTGTCGCGGATGCGTCCTTCGCGTCGGGCCTGGGCTGCCAGATTGGAGAACCACACGCAGGGCACCCAGTACTTGTTGTAAGAGGAGTTCAGGTTTTCGAACTTCTTGCGCTCCTCCCGGGTCATGAATCCTGGAGGGCGTGTGTGTTGATACTCGCACCCACCACCCTAGTCCCTGCCAGGGTCCTCCCCACCCCACCACTCTAGACCCTCCCCCCAGCCCGGGTCTTCCGCCCGCGTCTTAGCCCCTCCCACACCTTAGCCCCGCCCAAGATAGGCTGGGACCTCACCGGCCTCCACCACGTGGTCTATGGTGGGGAAGCGCTTGAAGACCGCGGTGCTGACAGAGCGTAGGATGAGCACCGCCGAGAGTCCAGCATAGCGCATAAGAGTGCGTCGGTAGAGGCGGCCGCGATCGTCGCGTCCGTGCACGGTCCCGGCCACCACGCACATGAGTGCATCGGGCAACGGCATACACAGGTACTGGTTCCACCAGCGGTGCACCACCAGCGTCACATAGAAGCCTGGGAGTGAGAATTGGAGGCTCAGTCGGGACACCTGGGCCAGGAGCTCGTGGATCCGACTCATGGAAGAGGAGTGGCACAGCCTTTGAATTTGAGACACCCGAGGACATGTGGGCCTGGGAACTTGGGGGTCCAGCCCTGAGGTCAGAAAGCCTGGTCACTCTGGCTGCTTGATAGCTTGGATTGGAGATTTGGGTCCCAGTGTGAGGTGGAAACCCAGGGCCAAATGAAGATGGGGACACTGGCCACAGGAGCCATAGAGCTATGGCTGTGGGAATGTGGAACACAGGAAGAGGGACTTGTTTTGTGGGGTTGTGTTCGTCGTGGGCATCTGGGCAGGTTTGTCACAATAGTGACATGGAGTCCCAGAGCCAGGAATTGGTTACAGGGTCTGCATTAGAGAGTCTGAGGAGGCTGGTCAGCCATTCATAGGCAGGAGAGGCTGGAGGGTCATACCAGGTCTCTGGGGACCTTCAGGGACCCCTAGCCCTCCAGACTGGATGTCAGAGAATGCAGTCACATGGGGTCCCTGGAGGGAGTCCCTGAGGGGCATTGTCAATCACATGCACATATAGGTGTGGCATTGCAGACAGGCAATAGCTAAGGTCCTGGAGTGTGAGGCCACCCCAAGCATCTTCTTGGTGTTGTGGATCCAGAGTAGGGAACCTGGGGGTTGGATTGGAGGGGGGAGTCTCAGAGGGGCGAGGAAAGAATCCCCTAGAGGCATGTTTCTTGGGGGGGGGTCACAGGCACAGGGCCGCACGAGTGTGTTCGCACCTAGCACGAAGGAGACTGGTATGAGGCTGGCATACTGGTCACAGTAAATGACAAGCTTCTCAAAATACCGCTTCTGCTTTTCGGCCAGTAGGAAACTGCGGGGTAGAGAGTGAGGTCATAGGGAGCCCCCTTCCCTTATCTCTCGCTCTTTGCGATAGGGTCTCCCTTTGACGCCCAGCCTAGCCTCGAACTTTCAGGATCCTCCTGCCTAAGCCTCGCCGGTGCTGGGATAACCGGCATGAAGTTGTCCTCCTACCACTCTCTTTGGTCGGGACCCCTCTCTCCCCCTGGCTTAGCCCCTCGGCCAAGGTCCTGGGCCCCTCACCGGTAGGTGGCGCTCAGTGCCATGTAGAACCCGAGGAAGCTCAGCAGCTCTCGCCACAGGAGCTTGTAGATGCTCCCGCGCCACAGGAGCAGCAGCTGCGAGAAGCCGCCGAAGCGGGCATTGGCCACCCGGGCTGTGTAGGTAACAGTCATTGCCGCGTCCTGTCGTGGGGCACAGGAGAGGACACCAGAGCGGGCTAAGGAAAGAGACTGGGAGGGAGCCAGGCCCTGCAGGCTCCCAGCATAGGAGAGGCGCCAGGGACTGAGCCCTGTGGCCACCTGTCCTGGCGGGTCCCCACATCGACCAGTCCACGCCCTGCCATGCCCAAGTTCTCTTCTTCCTGCAGCCTGAGATCACCTCTCTAGCCTCCCTCTTGCAGGCTGTCCTTGTCCCTGGACTCATAGTGCCTGCCTCTTGAAACTTTCCCCAAGTCCTTTCCTGGGTCGCCCACTTTGTAGATCCTGGGGCCCATGTGATCAGCACCTGTCCCATCCTTACCCTGTTCCATCTCACTTACCTGGGTGTCACCACAGCCTCCCCCACTCCCTGAGTCCTCTGCACCTCGGTTTCCAGGTTCTTGGTGTTCTGTTGCTCTCCATTCCGCTCCCTCACTCCTCACTTTTGGGCCTCTCTATCGGCTCCCACAGCCCTGGGCTGGCCCATATTCCCCCTGCACTCCCTCTGAATTCTCATCTCTCAGCCTCTAGGCTGCTAAGCTGTATCCCAGCTTCCCGGTGTCACACAGCCACCCCTGTGGCCATGTTGCCCCAACCTGCCCACCTCTCTCTCCTGTTTCCCCTCCAGACTCTTTTCCTCTTACTTGGGCTCTCCTCCAGCCCCCCAAGCCCTTTGATCCCCACCCCAGCAGAAGTCCTGTAGGTCCTCAGAGATCCCATTGTCGCCCAGCCTAGACCTTTCTCACCTGTGCTGAGGGCGTGGGGTGCAGGACACAGAGGACAGAGACTGAATGGGCTGCAGCTGGACCCTGGGCGGGAGGGGCCGGGTAGTGGGTGTGGGCAGTGCCTCCCCCACCTGTCCCCTGGCTGAGCTGAGGCCTCAGAACTGTGGAGAAGTCCCACGGTGGGGGAGAAATCTGCTCTTGTCCTCCTTGCTCCTCCCTGTCCCCCTCCCAGTCACTCTCTGGCTGGTTTGATGCCTCTGGAGGTAGAGCTGGGGGAGGGGCCGAGGGATGTCTCCTTCCGGGACACCTGTGGTGAGGCTGGACCTGCCACAGTTCCAGAATCACACACCGTCGCACAGATGTACACAGAAACACACCCCATAGAGCCCAACCCCCTTGGGTGTCCCTGAGCACAGCCTCCCACCACCACAGGGACCCACATAGTGGTGTACTGTTCCAGGGTCACACAAGAACACACAGCTCACTCCCACCCCCACCCCCCAAAGTGATAAGGTGCTCTCTGCTCACAGGCTCACATGTGCCCCAAGCAGCCACACAGGTTGACAGCAGAGGGGATGGGGGCTGCACACCCTCGTGGTTTTGCTGTGCAGCCGACGCACACAAGCTCCTGGGCCAGCCAAGGGCAGAGCTCAGTGAGCCCCAGACGCTCCCCCCAACAGCCATACGCAGTCATGCAGAGCGCTTAGTCCCATTTCTCCTGGACAAAGGTGCACCTGGGGTCACAGCCCCGTTCAGGGACTTCCCTCAACACAGTGCCACACAGTCCGGGAGCTGGGGTGGCTCTGGTGGTTCTGAGATTCAGTGATATAAATACGTGGGTGCACAAGGAGCCCTGCCTCCTAGGCCACAACCCTGTGTGAGCCAGAGGTGGTGGTGTGTGCTTGTCATTCTGGTAGTCAGGTGGCTGAGGCAGGAGGATTATGGCAAGTGTGAGGCCAGCCTGGGTAACACAGTGAGTCCATACTCAGCCTAAACTACAGAGCAAGAACCGTTTCCAGGCGCTGGAGAGATGGCTCAGTGGTCTAAAGCACCTACTTAGAACAAGCTTGGCAAAGCACAGGGACCACAGTTCGATCCCCCAGCACCACATGCCAGCCAGCCCCGCCCCCTGGTGGGCTGAGCTGGCCACACACACACACACATACAAACAATAAATAAAATGTAAAAAAAAAAAAATTAAAAAAACTTTCCAATATATAAATAAATAAAACACCAAAAATTAATAAAACCCTCCCAGGGCCAGTGATACAGTTCAGCAGCATAGCACCTGCCTGGCAAGCATAAGATCCTGTGTTCAAGTCCCAGTACCAATAAAATAAAATAAAACTCACACAGGCCCCAGGCTCTTGGCATTGGCAAGAACACACATAAATCCTTGTCCCCACATTTAGCATCCAGTTGGAGCAGGTGTTTAAGACACACCTCCAAAGGGGGCCCCCAGTCCATACCCTACTCTATGACTCAGCCTCAGGACACCAACATGCAGAGGGGTGAAAGCCCAGGCTTCCAGCCTGGGGAGCATGGAGCCCTGCACGCCCTGGATCCCCTCACATGCACCCATGTGCCAGGAGGTGTGTGGACAGCTCCATGCAGCACCACCTGAGGCCCTGCCCATCGGGACGATGTGTTCCCAGGCTGGCAGATGTCTGCCCCACCCATGGTAATTAGGAACCGGCTCAGACTGCCACCCTCAGACCTGTCTCCACTGTCCAGCTGCTGGACAATCTATAAACTGGAGCAAGGGGACATCTGGGGCCACACCAACAGCTGTGGTACATGGGGAGAGGACAGGCTTTGTGGCTCCCTTGGTCATATCCTTGCATACACTGCACTCGCCCCTGGACTGTCCCACTCTCCAGCACATGTGGGTCCTAAATATTTATTTTCTTAGGGCCTTGACACACGGAGCTCCCTCCCCATCCTTTGGAAAAAAAAAAAATACTTACAAGGGTCTTACTAAGTTTCCCAGGCTGGGCTACAAATTGTGATTTACTTCAGCCTCTCAGAGTGCTGAGATACCAGTGTGGGCTCTCTTGGGCCAGATTCCTACACCCTTGTCATTGTAGGACCCCTGAGGGTGGGGACCGGTTCACATGCCTGCTTGTTGCAACAGCAGCAAACAATAACAGCTGCTCCCTGGCAGGTCCCTGCCTGGAACTGCTGTACCACCCTCATATATTTTCCTGTTAAGTGTCCCCACAGACAGGCACTTTTGTCACCCCCCACTATCTAGGTAGGGAAATTGAGGCTTGGATGGTGCAGCCCATTAGTGGGACAGCTGGGCCCTACCCCCAGCCAGGGTGGCCTGGAACCCATCTTTTCGACAGCTGCACCTCCATTTCCACAGCCCCTTCATGCCCATACATGCCCTGTGGAGCCCAAAGGGGGACACGTCTAGACCCGAGCTTGGGTTCCTCACACACACCCTGGCACACCCAGCCCCTGGGTGTGTGCACCCGGAACACCTCCTGAGTCATGTGCGCCCTTGGCGCCCCCCATGTCCCAAGCAGCTCTGGCTTGGAACACGGCACTCAGGGGTCACGCCCCATCTTGTCTCAGTGGGAGACAGCAGTTGACTGGCCTGGACTGTGTGGAGGGTGGAGTGGCGGTGACGCCAAGAGCAGAGGGGCCCGTCGGGAGCCTCCTAGGCTGGTGTGCAGACACAAGAATCTTCTCTCGCTCGGTGAGTACTGAGGAACCCAGCTTAAGGGTAAGGGGGCCAAGGTTTTAAGAGCAGAGGTGCATGATGAGCGCATCAGCCCAAGACCCCTCTGGAGGCAGGACTGCCTTTTGGGGTCATCCTCCATCTGCCCCACAGCAGCAGCCTTGGCCAGACCACTCCACAGGGGTGGAGCAGGGATCACTAATCCCCAGCCTGGCTGGCCCAGCCTCTGCCCAGGATGCCTGCTAATTCCCAGACCAAACAGCAGGCAATGCTGGGCCTGCTGCCAGCTTAATCTGTTCCCCATCAGCCTGGGGCTGCCAAATGGGACTCCTAGTTCCCACAATATGAGCCTCCCAGGAATGGGGCAGATAACCCCACCCTTCTATTCCAGGCTTCAGGGCACCAGCAGGGCCACCTCTACCAGTGCTGAATTAGCGTCAGCACCCCCTTACCCAAACTCTTCCTAAATTGCCACAATAAACATGCATTTCTGTTACTGAATTAGGCCTGCTTCAACCTCAACTCTAGAAGAGGCTTTTGTGCAGTGTACTCTTTGTACAACTGTACATAAAGATGTGCACACTCCCTCCTGTATCAACCAACACAGCAGTTTAAGATTATTTTATTGAGGAACGAGAGGCAGGGAGAGGAGCGGGGACGACTACTGCCCCCCTAACCTGACCCCACCAGGGGGAATAGACCCCTCCCTGCCTCCCACATCCCGCATGGCTCCCCCTGTGCTATGGAGGACTTGTGCAAACTCTGCCCCCGGGGGGAGGGGAGCGGGGAGGTGGAGGGTGGGTGTGAAGTGGCAGCAGCTGGGCCAGGCAGCAGTGCTACTGGGCACTGGGGGGCTTGTAGGGCTCCAGCAGGAGGGCGGAGAAGGTGTTGACCTTGTCTGCTCCCCGCACCTCATGGGGTAGCAGCGGCAGCTTCACAATGTGGAAATCTTCGTACAGGTCCTCCATCTGCAGCCGGGGCAAAGGCAGAAAGTAGCAGTTAGGGGGCAGGAGGGCAAGGACAGGAAGTGGGCTCATGGGAGGCCAACGATGAAAAGTTCAAGCCCAGCCTGGGCACTTTAGTGACTTAAGGAGATCCTGTCTCCAAATAAAGCAACAAAGAAGGCTGGGTTTAGTGTGGCTCAGTGTGAAAGCCCTGGCTTCAATCCCCAGCACCACAAAAAAACAAAAACAAAAAAATACAAAAGATCAGAGGGCACCATGGAGGCAGAGGCCCTGCTGGGCCGGGTGCTGAGGTCCACACCTGGTCCAGGTACTTGGCCTGGATCTTGTGGCGGGCTTCACACATCTTGCAGGGCCTCTCAGGGTCGGGGAAGACAAGCTGGTTGACAATGATGTTGTGGGTATCAATCTTGCACTTGGCCAGCTCCTGGATCAGACGCTCCGTCTCGTACAGGGACAGGAACTCAGCAATGCACACGCAGATGAAGGTTGTCTGCTCCTGCAGAAGGGCCATGACAGGATGGGGAGAGGCTGGTCTGTCCCTGTCCCTGGGCCCCCAGCCTCTCCCCGCCTGTGGGACCACCACTCACAGGGTCCTTGAACTGCTCACTGACGGAGCGGATGACAGGCAGCGTCTCCTCCAGCTTGGATGCCAGCTGGTCAGCATTCATGTCGCCCAAGCCCAGCATGTTGCACATCTGTGGGAAGGATGGGGCAGGTTTGCTGTGCACCAGGGGCCTACAGAACAAACTCCCGAGTCCAGGGTTCAAGAAACAACTGGGGGCCAGGGAGATAGCTCAATAGAGTAAGAGCTTGCCTGGCAAGCACAAGGGCCTGAGTTTAATCTCCAATTCTGCTGGAAAAAAAAAAGAAACAACTGGGAGGGCCACGGACATAGCTGAAAGAAAGAAAGAAAGAAAGAAAGAGAGAGAGAGAGAGAGAGAGAGAGAGAGAGAGAGAGAGAGAGAGA